TTCCTCTGCATTACCTTGCGATCTGGATTTAAGAATATACCCCGAAATGTATCACTCCTTGCTAAGTTTTTTGCATGATGAATAACTTCCCATTTCTTACCTTCACTCACCAGTGTGATCCTGAGGGGGCGGGACTTGTCCTCCTGCCTTTGTCGTGAGAGAGGGAGGAGTAGCTGGTGGTAGGGAGGGAGGGGGTCCATGGTGTGGCCTTGCTCACCCAAAAAAATCATAATAAGTTAATGATCACCGCTCGGGAACCCCACAGCCAGATTTGCAGCTATCACCACCTTTCCCTACCCTCCACCAACCACCTCCTCGATTAATTTACTTTAGTTGGTAAAGGTGAATATTATTTTACATTTTAAGTACAATTTAAATCATCTGGGATTAATTTTGACAAAACTATGTAAATTTATTTTGACACAGTAAAGTAGATAGCCTATGTATGGAGATAATTATATTTGCTATTTCCAGTTAGTTTTCAACAAGCCAGATGCCAGATGAGAATTGTTATTTGGTGGAAACAATCCTTAGTTGTGGAGGACACGCTGACCAGGGTTGCTGAGTCATTTCCTGAGCCATGATAGAGGCGACAAAAACCAAGACCACATCTCGACGCTGACCTTGACGGCAAGAATTTACTTTTGTTACGTACGAAAACGTCAACACAAGGGAAGTAAAATATTCGTCACTGCTGAGTTTTGTGGATCCATCGTTATTAATTATTTACTCCCAAGAGGAAACAAACTCTGTCGATTACACGCCATCATGTGATGTACTGTACCACTCAAGACTGTTAAAACCGTTTTCTTAAGCGCCACCAGCGTATGGGTAGCCAGAATTGTCGGGTACAAACAAGGGGGGAATGAAAACATAATAACGACTAGAGACCCACACAACGTTGAATAGTCTGTGAATTATTGTAAGAGGGAAGAAATTTTGAAATTTCACGTGAAGTAGGATCGAAATCTCCTCAGGCTTTGTTTGTGCTATTCTGCTGTGTAGACATGATAAGCACGCATTAAAATGATCAAATTGCTGCTATCATCAGATGGATTTACGAAACCATTAGACCGGACGTACTTGGGTTACATACAAAGGGCGACCAGTGGCAGCGTGAACGTCAGTGCAGAACCAGGGGACAACTGAACATCCGCTATCCGCTCTACGTCCCACCCAGGAGGAGGCGAGCGCCTGGTAAACAATATCATCTCTGACCACACCCCACAAACCATAAGGGATACAGTAAACGAGGCAAATGCCTGGAGGAGCAAAAGGTCTCCGAAGACTGGAAGATGTCTTATGTGAGTCCTATATTTAAGAAGGGCGATCGTCACTCCACGAATAATTATAGATCGGTGAACCTGACCAGCATAGTGTGCAAAGTACTAGAGAGCATCTTAAGAGATGTCATGATGGAACATCTGCTACGAAACAACCTTGTAAAGGAATGCCAACACAGTTTTATGCTGGGGCGCTTCTGCTTAACACAATTACTCAGGTACTAGATGCTTGGACTCAAATTCTAGAACAAGACAGATATATACCTAGATTTTGCCAAGGCTTTCGACAGTGTACCTCATGAAAGGCTGATAATTAAACTGGAAGGGTACGGGATTCGGGGAAGTATCCTAGCGCGGATCAGAGACTTTCTGCATGACCGCAAACAGTGTGTGGTGATAATGCCATGTGTACCTGTTTTTACTGAATTTTGAATGGTTATTGAAATACACGATACCCTTAGCATAGGAGGGAAAAATATGAAGTTGTTCGCAGTCATATTTCCAGCCTCTGCTGATGTTCGTGTAATATTTCAATGTGATTCTGATCTTCAAAAATTTTGTTTTTGCATAATGTAGTATTACCTATACGTAATTTGTCTTAGTATGCCTTATTGTGAGTAAAAATAAGTACATATTAAATGCATCTTCCTAAAGCGTGAATTTGCTACCAGAGTTTAACAGTTAATTCATGTATAATACTTCTGCTAAACTTCCTAAGTGCTGATGTTTGAAATAATGAATGTATGTGTCTTTATATAATTTAGCTAAATATCTTTCTGGTCAGAAACGGTCATCCCAGCGATTATGAATAAACTCATTTCGAAATACATCATTACTTCAGGACAAAATCGGACAGGTTTGCAACAACCAATCAGCTGTAAATTTTGAGGAGGGGGCGGGGCATCTTTTCTCAGCTGGGAAAAAACGCGCTTATAGCAGGGTACCGCAGGGCAGTGTATTGGGCGCGTTGTTGTTTGTCTGTTTCATTTATGAAATGCCAGAAGCGATACACTCCTCCTTACAAATGTTTGCGGACGATGCCAAGTTATTTATGAAAATTAAGAACCAAACAGACTGTGAAGAGCTGCAGAAAGATCTCTATGAGCTTCAAGAATGGTCAAAGAAATGGCTGCTTAACTTCAATGTCACGAAGTGCAAGATGCACCTGGGTCTCTGTTACGCACTGTTGACAAGTACTGGGCATGCACCGGCTCCTTAATGTACCTGAACCTGCTCCAGTGTTGGTCAAGTCTGGTCTTGAAACAGCTCACACTCGGTGCCGTCACAACAATCTCTGGCAGGTTGTTCCAAGAGTTTACAACCCTCACTCCGAAAAAGTTTACCCTCACAGTTTTCTGGACTTGTGGCTTTTTCAAACCTGAGGTGTGTCCTTCCCCCTGTCACCTGTCACCCTTAATCATGTTCTTCCCCCTGTCACCCTTAACTGTGTCCTTCCTCCTGTCACCCTTAATTGTGTCCTTCCCCTTTGCCACCCTAAACTGTGTCCTCCCTGCCGCTTAACCGTGTTCCTCCCTGACGCCCTTAACTGTGTCCTTCCCCCTGTCACCCTTAACTGTGTCCTTCCCCCTGTCACCCTTAACTGTGTCCTTCCCCCTGTCATCCTTAGCTGTGTCCTTCTTCCTGACACCCTTAATCGCGTCCTTCTGACACCCTAAATTGTGCCCTCCCTGCCACTTAACTGTGTCCTTCTCCTGACGCCCTTAACCGTTTCCTTCCCCCTACCCCCTCCCATGTTAACTGATGGCAACGAGGGCCGAGGGAGTTACGCACAATGGCGGCGCGGCGGAAGGGTGTGACACAATAGTTCAGCCAAGCAACACACAAATAAAAACTGAGGCTGCGTCATCCAGTGTAAGCGAACAAAGATTTAGCTTGCTAAGGCAAGTTAAGAGTCACTTAAAAATCTCCACCAACGTAATAATTATAAAGTAAATAAACAGCTCAAGATTCCCACTCGATATAATATTAGAACACAAGTGGCGTGTTTTTGCGAGTCTCAAACGCCATAAAGTGTACCACAATTTATTGCGTTTTTTTCTTGCGTTTGGAACACCACAATTTGGTGTTTTCAAGCAGCAGTCATTAATATTATTTATGAGGGTATATTTTTGTGTAGCCATGAATGTCCTGTGCTGTACATGAGAAACTCTACATTAATTTCTAATGCCATGTACTGTAATGTAATGTTGCAAAAGTATTTATTATAAACTACTATACAGGGTGATTCAGCAAAGAGTACATAAAACTGGAGAATTAAATCCTTGGATAATTCTAAACCACAATGTCTCTATGATAAAATGTCAGATCCTGCATAGTTTCCATGTTACAATACATTTAAGATGTTGTATTAATGAGAGAAATTTTAAGGAAATCACCGTAGGTTTTGTAATAATTTATTCACTGATGTCTGTAGTGACCCTCTTTGTTACAACCTAAAGGAAATGTTCAACTTTAGGTTGTAACAAAGAGGGGTCATACTGTAGAGATCTGTGAATAAATTATTACAAAAATCTACGGGGGTTTCACTTCAAATTCACTCTCATTAATACAACATCTTAAATGTATTGTAACATGGAAACTATGCAGGATCTGACATTTTACCATAGAGACATTGTGGTTTAGAATTATCCAAGGATTTAATTCTCCAGTTTTATGTACTCTTTGCTGAATCACCCTGTATAGTGTAAAAAAATTACAGAAGATTTTGGATAGAATCAATATTTTTTTGAAGTAACCTTTTCACTTCTTAATAGTTAGCAAATTTTCTTTCACTCTAGAGATTATTTAGTTACTTTACAGGATAGATCTAGCAACAGTTTACAAATCTGAATTGGCAACTCCCGGGTCTGGAGTTGATATGGTAGACCGTAAACAGTGTTATATTGTTGCTGTGTCAAGGTGTAAATATCTGTTTTGATTTTCCGTGTTACAGTAATCTTAAAAAAGACATGTGTGTGTGAAATTTTGTAATATACACCATATGGTAATACCATTCTTAGCATTTTATGTCATTAAGCAAGTACTGTAATTGTAGCAATTAATTTTGAATTAAATAATTATCTAACTAGGTCTCTAACTTTATTTTCATTGTAACTGCTGAGATAAAAAATAAAAAACTATGATACTCTATGCTGTTAAAAAGTGGACAATAAAAATGGATTTTTGTTTATGGAATTATGTAGTTAGGAATATATCTGTAAAAAATGTATCTGGTCATGAATATTAGAGCTCCATATAAATATATCGCAGACAGCTGGCACGGCGGCACCATAACCACCACCTATTGTATAGTGGCAGGGTAATACAGTATATTAATTATAGTGGCTGCTTGACGACTACGCCCCATAGAAAAATTTTTGTGCCCCATCAAACATTCTGGTTGCACCCCCCCTCCCCCCACAAGTGCATAAACCCTGGTGACTACGGGCCGATGTAAGGTGAAAATTCAAGTCCATGTTTAAAGATGATGAACAAAGTACAGTAAAATTGATACTGTATACCAAATTGTGCTAATTTGTAATTCGTACTGCTAATTGTCAGTTAAGAGCAGCTAACTATCTTAATATCCCTGGAATCTTGTTTTATTGAATGCTTTCCCAACCCACTTCCTCTAACATCTATGACATTGGATCGAACAGTGAGCCAATGTACAGTACGTGGGACCGTGAGTGAGTGAAAAGCGTCGTGGGGACGAACCTCAAAGAAGTTGGTGAGCCAGGGGACGGCAGGGTCGGTGTTCTCGACGGTAAAGAGAACGTTCCTGGTGGGCAAGATGGTTCCCTCCGGCACAGCCTTTATCCTTAAAGGCAGACGTCCACCGTGATGCTGCAACAGTAGTTTAACATAGACTTCCACAACGAAGATGCTGGTGTAATTTCAGGTAGGACAAGTGCAAATAGTCATATATCTAGACCATTATTTAGTACATGTATCCATAACAAAGTTACAAGAACTGCTAATATTGGTAAAGTATTAACAAAATAATCTAGAACAAGACCTTCACTTCAGTTCCGGTAGCTTTTAAGTCTTTTTCTCGACAGGTCATGTCAAAGTCGGAGTGAGACAAATTACAGCGTCAGAACTTCCAGTCTTAGCCCCCTGTTTTATGGAATTATTCCACACTTCTGTAATGACTCTCACCTCATCATTCAGACTTTGGTTTAACACTCTTCGTAAAGGTCCTTATTTTATGAAAAGTCTCTGGATTCTGTACAGTGAGACTTACCTCTAGCATACAGGTTCATCCTCTTCACTTCCACAACTTGATTCCAAAGCCTCTAGTAGAGTATCGCCTCTACAATAGGTTCTCTATCATATAGTGACAAAATCTTAATGAAAACCTTTACTTTAAAAATATATTTCCAATCTCTTCATATAGAACCTCACCTCCAGAATATAGTTCCAGCCGTCCTCGTTGAAGTCTTTGTCGTTCATATATACTCCAGAGTAGATCTCCTTGGCCTCCTGGATGGCCTGGCGGGTGACTACGGGGCCAACCAGCCACCGCTTCAGCACGTATTGTAGTCCGAAGAAACATGAGTAGGGGAACCTTTGCAAACAAATGATATTATTATTGTACATATTTGAATTAACATTTTATATAAATTCAATTGAATTTAATTACATATCAATCAGAGAACCGTAGACAGCTACAAAGCATAATGTGTTGTCTAATGGTAGACCCTGCTAACATATGTCATCACGAAAATTGTGACCAAGTCTCAGGCTGCTGATCTATCTTTCTGCCTCATTTACACACAATTGCAGGTCTCAGTTGTCTCTCATACTATTGCCAACACATCATATATAACCGTCTCACTCTTGATCTGTTCTATTCTTTCTATTATTTTATTCTTCTATAACAGTTGACAATAAGTTTAAAGTGGGGCCTTCTAGAATGGGTCCCACTGGTCGGGAAGGTTGTGGGGCCGACCTGATCATCATCAAACTACTGGGGCCTCAACTGACGTCACCGCGGTTGCTGGAGAATCGACTTCTTTCACACTTCATTTTTCCAACATCGCGGCCTGAGATCTAATTTTCCTTCTGTGTAGCACCATCTATAAACCTCTACCCTCGATCTCTTACTATTATCTGAACTTCAACTGACCAAAGCAGCTTCGCCTAAACCTTTTCAAGTCTCCAATTACAGCCTTTATACCTCTTTCAGTTCTAAGGGAGGTGTATGTGCCTACTGCAACACACTACACCTATAGCTAGACTCACGGACCTTGAATCTTCTTTATGATGTCATCTGGCTCAAAATATCTCTACCAACTATGACTATTTTTCTTTGATTCCTATAGTACTGTTCTCCCAACTCTCCCAACTATTTGGAACTCTTTAACTATCTCACTTCTTGCCATGAGTCGTTGCTATCCACACACTCAACACTCAGACTGAGATCCTCTACCTAGGGGATTTCAATGTACATCACAGAGAGTGACTTGGCTCTGCAAGGGATGACCCAGGTGGAGCTGAGGCACTCTCTTTTTCCTTACTAAAGATCTGTAACAAATAATCAAACACCCTACAGGTGTTCCAGATCGACACGATCAACTTGCTAACATTGTTGATCTTTGTTTTACCTCTAACCCCTCACACCATTCATACTCAATTTCTGCCCCCTTAGGGTCTTCTGATCACAATCTTATTTCTTTTAAATCAAACTACCTCCCCCCACCCCTCTTTAAACACCAACTATGGCACTATCGAAGGGCAAACTGGCAATCCTTGCGAGAATTCTTCTCCAACTTTCCTTAGGATGAATGTTGCTTTTCCACTCGGGACGCCTCGGTATGTACTGACAGTATTGCTGGGGTTATACAGGGTGGTATGAGTGCATTTATCTTCTACCAAAACTTTCACTTTACTATCATGGTTTGATTGCTCCTGCTCTCTTGCATGCAGGGAGAGAGATAGGGTATATCAAGCTATGAAACTATCTCCTTCTCCTATTACCCACACCTCTTGCATTACTTCTAGAAATCGTTGTAAGGCTAGCCTTCGATATGGCCAAACGGAATTTTATAAAAAGAAAGACTGCTGTCCTGACTAATTCTTCTTCTAGTAAATCCTTCTGGTCCTTAACCAAAAAACATCTGTAATAACATCTACACTCCCTCTTTTCCTCCTCTCTTCCGACCTGATAACTCTATAGCCAACTCTGCCCCTGATAAAGCCAATCTCTTTGGCACCTTATTCTCCTCTAACTCCACCTTAGACGATTCCAACTCTATCCCTCCTACTCCTGCTCCTCTTACTGCACCTATGCACTTTCCTATAATCTCCACTCGTAGGGTTGCTGGTTTGTTATCCAGGTTGGATGTGAGGAAGGCGCATGGACCGGATGGAATACCCCCACGTGTTCTGAGGGAGTGTGCTGAAATTTTAGCCTCTGTTTATGCTCGCCTCTTTCGCGTTTGCCTCAAAACCCAAACCCTTCCTTCTTCTTGGAAACATGCCTCGGTTCAGCCAATCTCTAAGAAGGGTGACCATTCCAATCCTTCTAACTATCGCCCCATTGCCCTAACTTCATCCCTCTCTAAGATTTTCGAAACTATCTTAGACTCTCATTTTCTCTGTCACCTTGAACAGTGAACACCTTTCTCTTTTGTCAGATCACCAGTATGGCTTTCGCGAGATTTACTGGTGATCTGCTCTACCTACTGCACCCATCTTTGGTCATCCTTTCTCAAGGATTATGGGGAAAATTTCGTCGTGGCCCTCGACATCTCCAAAGCATTTGACAAGGTATGGCACAAGTCTTTGCTTTCCAAGTTTCCCTCTTGTGGCTTCTCTCCCCCACATTGTTCTCTAATTTCTAGCTTCCTTGAAAACCGATCTACGGCAGTTATTGTCGAGGTATCGATCTCCCGCTCTTTCTCTACCAATAGTGGTGTCCCACAGGGTTCTGTTCTTTCACAAACTCTCTTCCTTCCTTTTATCAATGATTAACTTCACACTAAGACTAATTCTATCCATTCTTACACTGATGATTCTACTCTTCAATCTTCTTCACATTTTCCCCTTCCCCCTAACTCTCAAACTAGATCTGTTTCTAGAGCTGATATCATTTCATCTATCAATGTGGATCTGTGCAGCATCTCCAAATGGTGAGGTAGAAACTTGGTTAAATTCAATAGTAATAAAACTCAGTATTTACCTATTACACTTTTCAAATTAGATAATCTCCCACCAATCACATTTTAGGACGCAAGCATTCTGCCAAATTCTAAAATAGATATGCTAGGCCTCACCATTTCCTCTAATGTCATGAAAGCCACACATCCTCAACATTGCTAAAGCTGCCACCTGAAAGCTGGGAATGCTGTACAAATGCCGTAGCTACTTCATTTCTGAGCAGTTGCTTCAAGTTTATAAGGGATTCATTCGTCCTAACTTGGAGTACTGCTCTCATATCTAGGGTATACCGCTGGCAAGGCCGTGGGCTCGTAACACTGGTCTTACCCGTGGTGCCCACCGTTTCTGTGTGGATGTCGAGAATAACCCGTTATAGCACATCTTTCTTTCCTCACACAACCAAACTGTGAAATGCACTGCCTTCTTCTGTGTTTCCATACTCATACAATCTGTCTCACTTCAAAAAGCTGGTTTTTCGGCATCTTCGTGGAATAGATTAATATATTTTTTTTTCTTTTCAATTGTTAATGTCTTTTTACTCTTATTTTTGTGGGTCGATGACCTGTGCCCGGGTGGGCTATTTCCCGTATAAAAAAAAATCAGTTTCAGTAACGTGGCCATCGATCATGGGTAAGACTATTCAAGGTCAAGCAAACGGGGAGTTCTAGTCGGCTGTATCGTCAAGTTTACCAGTCATCCTCTCAGCTCACTGGATGTTGGCCAGGGTACAGCTGTCGTTAATGTCCTGACTGACTGGCAACTGGTGCCACCCCAACTCGGCTGACAATGCAGACAACAGGTCCGAACAACAATAACTGGCAGAAACAAATAACAGAAGAGTGGACATAACGTACTATACATTTCAAAATGTAATTACACAAAAAATACATTACGAACATAATACCTGTAGTACAATACAAAATACTCTCGAAGAATGAAGCCTTCACGGGGGGATGGACGAAAGGACAAGTGTACTCAATTGCTTCCTCAATATAAAACGGGTTATAAAATACAAGCATAAAAGCACTTCCTTCTTTCTGCAAGTTAGTAGTTTTCTCTTATAAGATTTGAAAAAGTCAGGCTAAGACTAATATGAGACGTGCAATTGGTGTGTGTATTAATGTTGCTGTGTAGATTATAACCTATGGCTGCTGAACACAATGTTACTCCTATGGCAATGATGGAACTGTACGGAAGGTCTTGCATCGCCTCCCTGAGATTATTCAGGAAATAATAATGCATGACCCCACAAGTATTAAAAGAGATAATGCTCGCATCTGAGTGCTGACGTATTCCTGACAACTGATGTTGTACGAACAACAACACAGCTTAAGTGGTGCGTGGTCATGTACAGTACATAACAATTTAATTAAAAGTAACAAATATTTTGATTATTAACACTACAGTAATTCAGTCAGTAACAATGTGATCAGCTATATTAAGTAATGATATCTTACCATGTTAATAATATAAACTTACTTGCCACCGCGAGACTCGAAGTAGGAGTAGAGAAGTGTTGTTCCCGGCGGATACTGCTGGTAGTGAGACACCTAGGAGGAGAGAGACATTGTGTCATGTCATCCACGGGGGTTATGGTGTCATCCAAGTGTTATACTGTCATCTAGGGGTTGACATCCAAGAATTTTGGTGTCACAGGATAGGATAGGTTAGGTTGTCATCAAGGGTTAAGTGATCATACATAAATCGGAACAATTTTAAACTGATAACAAATATTACCGAGATACCTGATAAAGGACGCCTAATATAACCTAACCTAACCCATAATGATCAATATAAAGTTCTAATAAAAAATTATACAAGATAAATTTAATAAACAGTTGTACGATATCACAAACTTCATGGGATACTCACCGTATTATACTCGGTTTGTATCTCGCTCAAACCTAAGTCAAATTAATAATCTGCCTAAGATTCAGAAACTTGGTAACTATAAAAAAATAATTCAGATCCATATCATCCATACGTTGACAATGAGCCGAAATTCTCGGGCCATTGCGAGAAGAAAGTAAATCAGGCAAATAAATTATTAGGTCTTATAAGGTCGTTCAGATATCTAGACGGTCCGTCCCTCGTAACGATCTTCAAGAGTGAAGTGCTTCCCCGTCTGGAGTACTGTCACCCCGTCTGGTCCCCGAGATATACTAGGGACTGCCAGTTGGTTGAAAATGTTCAAAGGAGGGCCACCAGACTGGTGCCTGCACTTCAGAACCTCAGCTACCCTGAGAGATTGGAGCGCCTGAACTTGCCTAGCTTATACTACAGACGGGCAAGGGGGGACCTAGTTGAGGTGTATAAGCATCTCAAGGGGCACTATTCAGTCGAGTGTCCTTACCTGAAGCTGGCTGACGCTCGCCCTACAAGGGGTTGAAGAAGCCGCAGGTCCAGAAAATTGTGAGGGCAATTTTTTCGGAGTGAGAGTTGTGAACTCTTGGAACAATCTGCCAGAAAGTGTTGTGACGGCACCGAGCGTGAGCTCTTTCAAGACCAGACTTGACCAACACTGAAACATGCCCAGTTCTTGCCAACAGTGCGTAACAGAGACGTGACCTATAGCCCAAAGTGGCTAACAAGCCGACCAGTGGTGACGAGGATAAAAGTAAAAGTAATCTCATTCAAACCCAACCTCACCCTAGTCTGGCCGTAAGCCGTATTAAATAGAATTAAAAATAAATTTGGCTGCTGCTGAGATTCAATGTCACGAAGTGTAAGAGGATGCACCTGGGGCGTACCAACGGTAAGGAGGCGTATCATATGTCCCAACGGGATGAAGAAACTGCACTATTTGAGACTGAATGTGAGAAGGACCTAGGTGTGTATGTTGACAATGAGCTGAAGTTCTTGGGCCACTGCGAGAATAAGGTAAATGAGGCAAATAAATTATTAGGTCTTATAAGAAGGTCGTTCAGATATCTAGACGGTCCGCCCCTCGTAACGATCTTCAAGAGTGAAGTGCTTCTCCATCTGGAGTACTGTCACCCCGTCTGGTCCCCGAGATATGCTAGGGACTGTCAGTTGGTTGAAAATGTTCAAAGGAGGGCCACCAGACTGGTGCCTGCCCTTCGGCACCTCAGCTACCCTGAGAGATTGGAGCGCCTAAACTTGCCTAGCTTATACTACAGACGGGCAAGGGGTGACCTAATTGAGGTGAAAAGCATCTCAGGGGGCACTACTCAGTCGAGCTGGCGGACGCTCGCCCCACAAGGGGTCACAGCTCAAGATTGAAGAAGCCGCAAGTCCAGAAAACTGTGAGGGCAAACTTTTTCGGGGTGAGAGTTGTGAACCCTTGAAACAATCTACCAGAGAGTGTTGTGACGGCACCGAGTGTGAGCTCTTTCAAGACAAGACTTGACCAACACTGGAGCGGGTTCAGATATATTCAGGAGCCGGTGCATGCCCAGTACTTGCCAACAGTGCGTGACAGAGACGTGACCGATCGCCCAAGCGGCTAACGAGCCTATCTTTTGGTGAAGAGGATAAAAGAAAAGGAAAAGTAATCAGAGACGTGACCGATCGTCCAAGCGTCTAACGAGCCGATCAGTAGCGAAGAGGATAAAAGTATAACATGAAAGGGGCAATTTTAAACTTAACTATAGATTCCTAGTACCTCATGTATACATAATTACATAATTCAGGCATATATAGGGTTGCCATACGTCCGTATTTTCCCGGACATGTCCTCCATTTAGTTCTCGAAATCTTCGTCCGGAAGGAATTTTTTAAATTCTTTAAAAGTCCGGAATTTTAGCTTCCATCATTTTCTCCACGGAAAAAAACCCATGAAACTGTAATGACGAGAGAGAGAGAGAGAGAGAGGCTGTGAGAGAGGGGAGGTGGAAACAGTAGAGATCTCGTTCAGTTATCATCAGCTGATAAGTCACGTGTACGCCTGTACGGTGTTGTCAACTTAGCTGCTAGCAATTTTTGGGCTAGCATGTAGTGCCATGTACTGCTTTTCCTTGTTCTTCAGGCATGCGCATTATTAAATTTGTTTTTGTATTTAGTGCTATTACGTAAAGCCATAAATGAAATGTTGAAATTATACCATATTTTTCTTGTGGCTTTTTTTTACACTGTAGCATTTGTTTTTCTTGTCCTGCATTTAAGGCATTTTAGCAATTTTCAACCATAATCTTGATGTACATGGGCACATCAAGTCACACACACAGCGGGGGAAGAAGACTGCAGCTAAGGGAATGAAGATATTCAGCCTTAAGCAAAAGTAATTTTTTTTAATATTTTTAAGATTTCTTTACCATGAATGTTGTATATTAGCCTACATTAAAAACACAATACAATACAGTACACCGATACTGGTATATATATATATATATATATATATATATATATATATATATATATATATATATATATATATATATATATATATATATATATATATATATATATATCCTCTTCGCCACTGATCGGCTCGCTAGCCACCCGGGCGATCGGTCACGTCTCTGTCACGCACTGTTGGCAAATACGGGGCATGCACCGGCTCCTGAATGTACCTGAACCCGCTCCAGTGTTGGTCAAGTCTTGTCTTGAAACAGCTCACACTCGGTGCCGTCAATATATATATATATATAATATATATATATATATATATATATATATATATATATATATATATATATATATATATATATATATATATATATATATATATTAATGTTTTGCAAATATGCAAAATTAATTGTCACAGCTGCTTCAAGGATACATTGTAGTGGATTTCTCCCCTACAAACGCTGTTTGTCGCTGAGTAGCCGACCCCGCGAATTCCCCAGTGTATGCATCGTGGTCTGGGTCAACCAGCTCCGCCATACATCACGGAGGTCAACTACTAAGCCACGCCTACCTCCGCTATTTAAGACATGACCTCGTGGTGACCTACCTCTTTCTACCTACACCAACCAGCAAGCAACACCACCTCCTCCTCCGCTGCCTGGCGTCCCTCGCTCCCGCCGGCGAGCATGGCGACCCACAAGCTGTCCTCCTCTGAGCATCCTCACCAACCAGCTCTCTCTACATCACGCTTGTAACCACGCTGCCACTTCCCAGCACTAAGCTGCATTGTACATCCAATACAGCATGTATACAGAGAGCACATTGTGAGTTTCCTTTCTCCATCCCATCCTGAGTGTGAACCCAAACAACCCGTACCCCACAAATGGTGACCCCCGGAGATACGCACTCACACAGGAGGGAGGAGAAACAGATTACGCTCCCAGTCTTCAAGCAACATGGAAGACTGGCTTATCCACCCAGAGGCAGCTCTCATCGGCTCTACAGCTACTGTCTCTAAACCGCAGGTTAGACACCCTAGAGCAGCACTGCTTCTCTAAGCAGACACCAGCTCCTCTTCCTGCCCCAAGCACCACGTCCTGCCGACCCCAGCACACCCGTCCTGCCTCAGACACCGCCCCCGGCCCAGCAGTACCCCCTGCCGCTCCTCCTGATGCAGCCCCTGCTCCCGACGCGACCCATGCGCCTGAGTGCGGACCAACACACCCCTCTTTTCTCCCTCAGGTACTCCCTGCTACTGTCCTGCACCCTGCTGCTGTCGTGGACCCAGCTGCTGTCACGAGCCCTCATCCGCTGCTGCTGACGCAGCCCCTGCTCCTGACCCAGGCCCACACACCCCAGCAGGCGCATCTGACGACTCTGTACCTGCCGTGAGGGAAGCACAACATTCATCACCTCCACACACCCTTTTTCTCCCTCTCTACTCCCACAGATATTGTGTATCTACACAGTTGTCTCATCTAGCGGCCGGCTCATCCACGCCCTCGCCGTTATGGCTCACATGTGGCATGCACCGCCCGTTCTGGCTCACATTTGCCATGCAACCCTGCAGACAACAAGTCTCCTACACCGCCTGGAGGGAAGGGGGGAGTATTGTAGTGGATTTCTCCCCTACTAACGCTGTTTGTCGCTGAGTAGCTGACCCCGCGAATTCCCCAGTGTATGCCTCGTGGTCTGGGTCAACCAGCGCCGCCATACATCACGGAGGTCAACTACTAAGCCACGCCTACCCCCGCTATTTAAGACCTGACCTCGTGGTGACCTCTCTCTTCTTGTAGCTACAGCCGCAGCAAGCTACACCACCTCCTCCGCCGCTGCCTGGCGTCCCTCACTCCCGCCGGCGAGCATGGCGACCCACAAGCTGTCCTCCTCTGAGCATCCTCACCAACCAGCTCTCTCTACATCACGCTTGTAACCATGCTGCCACTTCCCAGCACCAAGCTGCATTGTACATCCAATACAACATGTATACAGAGAGCACATTGTGAGTTTCCTTTCTCCATCCCATCCTGAGTGTGAACCCAAACAGCCTATTCCCCACAACATAGCGCCAAAGTGTGTGCCGGGGTTGAGGGGGGGGCGGTGCGGCAGGATGTCTTCTGGAGCGTCCTCTTTTTTTAATGTTCAGATATGGCAACCCTAGGCATATATATATATATATGTATATATATATATATATATATATATATATATATATATATATATATATATATATATATATATATATATATATATATATAAAACGTTACTCTGACCACCTACGTGATATGGGTAGTCCCCATTAGAGGTTCACGGCGCCATAAGCTCGTTGAACAGGCTTTATGTGAAATATAACAAAGTCTAGGACTGCTTTAAGTATCCTGGTGGTTCAGCGGTTAGCGTTCCCCGGTCACAGTCATGGGCTCGTGGGCTGTGGGTTCGAATCCTGGTGGGTTGAGATGTTGATTGTATGTAGAAGTCTGCATGCTTTATTGGGCTAATGAAATATATATATATATATATATATATATATATATATATATATATATATATATATATATATATATATATATATGTGATATTCAGAAATTTCAGTGTAATTTCAAACGCCGCGCCATTGACGATACTGAGTTTTCAAGGTCGTCTGAGGGAAGAGAGCGCTCCCCGCACATAGCGAGAGGTTGTGGAACTAGGCCTATATGATATTGAATGTAATTTGCCGAATTAATAATGATGGGATTCATGAAGTTAAGGGACTATTATTGAATTTGGAATTATTATAGATCGTTTATCAGTCTGAATAATGTTACGGGTGTCCCAAGGAGTTATTAGTTAGGCGGAAAATATGTCACGTAGGCCTAAGCTGACGCCTTGAGAGGAGACGCGACGCTGGCTGGTCCTCAGTCACGTGAAAGCAATTGGACCTACAGGACATTCCTGCGCGTCCGTCACAGAAATAGTCACGTGGCCTAGTCACCTGTGTTGCACTATTGCAGTATAACAAGTAAGTCTCATTCGATCTCAGACAGGGTTTAGATAGGGCAGTGATAAAGTTAACAAGAGCTAACAGTGAGTTCATTTCAGGGTTTCCGTCAGAACCCACTTGACCGCGAGTTTGACTGCGAGAAATTGACTGGGAGAGATTGACTGCCGTTTGAGACTGCCGTGATGATTGAGGATTGGCGATTGTCGCCGTTGGAACGATCAGTGTAGGCTTGTCACTGGTTAGCGGGGTAGCAAAGGATCTCTTGAGTGAACGAGTGCTCCCGACAACTAAAACGACACGGGACCAGCATCAGCATTGGGTGATCAGTTCTTACCACGTGGGTGCACAACACCACGTGTCCTCGGTCAGCTAGAAGTATTACCTACTGGCCATAGTCACCTGCTGGCGTTCTCTCTTTCCACCCATGGACGCACTGAGAGTACACTGAGGCAATCTGAGTAAATTAATGGTCACACACTGAGACCAGGAGTCTAGGGGATACCTAGAGGAACATTTTATCTCCCTTATTACGGGTGTATGTGGAGTTGGGTGAAGCAGGGTTCACGGGTATTGGTGGACCCAGTAACATCTCAATAATAGTGACAATATTTTTGTGTGTAGTTAATACCATTTTTTCAGTTACTGATATTATCTTGACGTGTGTAGTAATAGTTCCTAAATGATTTTGATAGTAGTGTTTTTTGAATGTTTGTGTCACTAAGTGGAACCAGAGTGATACTGTGATTTAATTCCTTTTATGCATTTAATTTTTCTTTATAATTCCGATCTCAGGTATAACCTTTGTTCCCCAGAGTAGTGGTTAAGTTAGGTTAGGAATTGTGCATCTGTTGGGGTAATATAATTTTGTTGAAAGCCCTTAAGGCCTGTTTCATGTGTGCAAGCAACATTTCTTAATACTTTAAATTTATTGTTGCCTGAGTTTCTAATAATTTCAATATCATGTATAACTTTTATTCCCCAGAGTAGTGTTTTAAGCTCAGGTTAAGAGGTGCGCATATTGGTGTACCATTATTTGATTGTGTCTGTAGTGTTGGAGGGAATATAAGTGTCTAAATTTTACAGTGTGTCTCATTCATCCCAGTCACAGACGCTATCCTTCCACGGGTCACGGACAATTCATTTTGTTTAGTAAATTTAAGTGTTCTTGTGCTGGTTCGGGATTTCTCTCAAAGGGGCGCTTCCACTGCAATTACCATCTAATAATCTTTAATAAACCCCAAGTCAAGTGAGAAATTAAAGTCCAGTAAATTCCGACCGGTTACATATATATACATATATATATACCGATACTGAAGAAAGTCAGCATATTATACCGTTCACGACAATGTGCAAAGAGCGGACAATCAATCAACACATGCCGTTCACTTTGTACATGACTGTCGTCATGTAGTGGATTCCTCCCCTACAAGCACCGCAGCTTCTCGAATTCCCCAGCCTACGCCTCCAGCGCCGCCCACGGAGCGGGGGTCAACTATCTACCCACGCCTACCCCCGCCTTATAAGGCCTGACACTGCTGTGACCAGCCTCTTTCTACACAGTGCCACCAGCAAGCAACACTTCCTCCGCGCCAGCATTACTTTTTTTTTTACTTTTATCCTCTTCGCCACTGATCAGCTTGTTAGCCGCTTGGGCAATCGGGTGACGTCTCTTTCCATTTATATTCTTCACCAAAAGATCGGCTCGCTAGCCGCCCGGGCGATCGGTCACGTCTCTGTCACGCACTGTTGGCAAATACTGGGCATGCACCGGCTCCTGAATGTACCTGAACCCGCTCCAGTGTTGGTCAAGTCTTCTCTTGAAAGAGCTCACACTCGGTGCCATCACAACACTCTCTGGTAGATTGTTCCAAGAGTTTACAACCCTCACTCCGAAAAAGTTTAACCTCACGGTTTTCTGGACTTGCAGCTTCTTCAATCTTGAGCTGTGACCCCTTGTGGGGCGAGCGTCCGCCAGCTCCAAGTAAGGACACTCAACTGAGTAGTGCCCCCTGAGATGCTTATACACCTCAACTAGGTCCCCCCCTTGTCCGTCTGTAGTATAAGCGACCTTGGCGTCCCTCAAGCCGCGTGCCCTCGCTCTGGGCACCCTCACCACCCAGCTCTCTCTACTCAACGCTTATTACCATGCTACCGTCGCACTGACAGTTTCAATTCTGCTGGTGTGCGACTCCACCTGCCTGTCTCTATTTGAGGTTGTGTAACATTAGTCTCAGCCTGGTGAACGACTCGCGCTGAAAATCCGGGATAAATTTCTTACTTAAGAATACCTCATGCACTGCCATAAAAGGGTTCAGATCGGATATGTATGTAGCAAATTTTGTAGCGCCAGCTGACCTCTCCGTTACCAGATTCGCCACTCTGTCTAATGGGTTCGTGTTAGTCTAAGGTAATTGCTCTCGCTATGAATCTAAATCCTGGTGTATTTGCTATCCTACATAAATCATATACAAATTGAAGAGGTTGTTCCATGTCCATTATCTCATGTTTTGATTTCATAAACTTGCATCTCCATTCTCCCCTTTGCGATAATGTCTCGCACTGGGGGAATACCTGACTCGTTCATGCACAGATTTATACTCGTGTTTTCCCTCACACCTAACAAGCACTTCACCAGTTTATTATATGGTCTTTCCAATCCTTTCAAGTTATTGGTCAGCCAATAATGATGACGTTACTGCAGAATCAAATACAGGTACGTTTTTCTTGTATACAAATGGCATTTGTGTGTTGGCTGCACAAAAAAAAAAAGGAAAACTTATTGACCGTGGCTTCCCTTGCTGTCTGGTGCAAAGACAGTACACTATCCATTTTTCCAGAGTCGGTGAACCAAGCCCCGAGGCACAAGTACCTTGGGATATAGCTCACATTAATTCCTTCTATCGTCAGACAAAGTTTATCTCTTTCTTGACCGTTAACCACATAAAATTAGTTTTCTTTTCATTTATCACCATTCCATAGTCTTTACAATATTGTGATACAATGCTGAGTTTCTGTTTACACATCTCCCTATTTGTTGCCAGTATTACAGCATCATCCATCAATAGTAAACCATGTAAGTTACCCAAGAAACCGTCTGTAGCAGTTGTTCTCTTTATCACTGTTATCATATATTCATGAGCCCGTTAGTTTGGGCCCAGTACTTGTCAATAGTGAGTAACAGAAAAGTGGCCGACCGCCCAAGATAACGAGCTGATCAATGGCAAAGAGGATAAAAGTTAAAAACTGGCTGTAAACACGACGACCCTCCTCAACAGAAGGGGGTGATAAAAACATCGATAAGACACTTATGATAAGATACGCACAGTGTCCATAAACATTTAAAAGAAAACTTATGATTGTAAGTCTGCCCGGTCAAATTTTAACTATGACTATTGAAGATATGGAAAGGATTGTTTAAGGATAGATCTTATATCGAACATATTTTTGTTTTACCTACAGTAAACGCCATGTCCTTGAACCATTAAGCGAACTATGTACCGTCACTGTTGGCATATTCATTGACAATGCAGATATGCAAATATTTATAAAGGGCAGTTTAACAAACACTATAATTATACACAGCATAGGTCGATTCAACCAAGGGTAGTTCAAATTCATGACATAAAACATGGAAAGCTAACCTTGTAACTGTCTGCCAGAAGGATAACGTTATTGACGCACCCACCATCCATGGCTGCTGGGAGTCTACTGCTGCACTACAGCCACTGCTGCTCTTGCATCAAGGACTGTAGGAAGATAGCTCATCCCAATGGATGGGTGAACGCGTTCACTCAGAGCTGTAGATAGTTGTTTATTCAATAAAATTTTCATACATGTTTACAATTGTATAAGCATATAGTATGTATAAACTATGTCGGGAAAAGGTAAAAAGTCAAGAGACAGCCCGAGAAGACTTCCCAGCCCCTGAGTAACAACATGGCGGCCGGTTGTCCGAAGGTAGAGTTCGGTCAACTCAGTGACATGCGGGCGCCATGTTGTTACTCAGATCATGAAGTTTGTGATCGCACTGTATAGAATGATGATGATTATAATGATTATTCAATAATTTTTTATACTTGTTTGAAATTTGATTTTCATGTTTATAAACTATGTGAGACAGCCCGAGAAGACTTCCCACCCGCTGAATAACAACATGGCATCCGGTTGGCCTGAATTAGAATGTAAGAACTACGTCAAATTAATGTGCTTTAGTAAAAAAAAAAAATAAATAAATAAAAAAAACAAAAAAAATCAGTTCATCTGTAGCGTACTGTAATGTGGCCAGTAGTCAATTCTCTTTAGATGTCTATTTTCTCTTTGTATGGCCACACAACATACGTACATGTAGATATCTCACACTCAGAAATGAGGTAGAATAGAAACTCACAATGCGTTTTCTTAATATATATATTGTTGTACAGAGCAGTGTTAAGGAGTTACTAGGTGAGGTGTAGCTTGCTCAGAGTTCCTGTAGGGCGAGGAGCTCTCTGAGGAAGCTGGGTGGTGAGGCGCTGGAGAGAGATCTTGCTGGTCCAGTAGGTCAGAGTAGAATGGTCTCCCTACGATACGATACGAAGTCTTTAGTTAAGAGGTGAAAGAAGATTATTAGGGGTTGAAGGAAAAGTGGTGAAACTGAAATACAGTAGGAGTAGAAAGAATCTGGGCTCAACCAGATCGCTTCATCTTTCCTATTGGTGTTTTATCTTTGTTCTGCTCCCTTGGGTCGTCAGACCTTTGTATTAATATTGGTTTATTTATATAATGCTGCTTATTATTATTATTTGTTATTATTGTTGGAGTTAGTGAGCCCGCCCAGGTCCTTGTGTAACTGGGAGGGTAGTTTTTTTTTTTTTTTTGAGGTGTTAGTTAAGTGTTAGTTGTGTTAGTCTAAAGGTACACTGTATGGAGAGGCCTGCCAGGTTCTTAGTGGAGCTGGTTGGTCACTCTCATCTTTATTCCTCTAGTAATGTTTTATGTAGAAATGTGTATATTGAGGCAGGAGGTGGTTCAATTACTTCTTCCTGGCTGATAGCTGGGTAATCACATTTATTATTATTAATATTATTAATATTTATTTATTTTATTTATTTATTTTTTTGAGTTAGGCCACTTGGGTCATGTGTAGCTGGGGGTAGTCCTGCTTCTTTTTTTTTTTTTTTTTTTTTTTTTTTTTTACTTCTAGATCTTGTTCAGTATTAAATGTTAAATGTTAATGTTAAATATTAGTTATGTTAGTCTAAGGTACACTGTGGAGAGGCCTGCAGGTTCTTGTGGAGCTGGTAGGTCACTCTCATCTTTATTCTCTCTATTAATGTTTTATATGTATGTGGGGCAGGAGATGGTTCAATTACTTTCTTCCTGGCTGATTAAACCAACTGTGTTCTTGGAAATTCTTCGTTGTCTATATTATTTATCCAGTTTTGATATGTTTCTGTGTTAAGTTCAGTCACTTTTTAAATATTTACAGCTTTGTTGTGTATATCTACATTGATTGCTAAGAGGTTTGCTCTCTTGTGTAGCTGTTCATTACTGATGTAGTGCTGTATATTTTATGTTATATATAAATCTGAGGTAGTGTTCATTATGATATAGTATATTTTATATTATATAAATCTGAGGTATATTTTTGTACTGTTTGTAACCTTTTAATGCACGTTTTTACTAAAGGGTGTTCAATGGGATGGGTGGGTAGTCCATAATTGGTTTGGCAAGCAGCTAAATCTTTCTTTTGTTATATATACTAAGGTTCTTAGACGTTTTTTTTTGATAATCTTATTCTTGCCTTCGTTCTTTGTCTTTTAATATGTTATATATCCTCTTTTTGTTTAATCCATATTATCGTATAGATATAGTTCTGGTCGACTATTACTGGACTTGTTTTAAGTCTTGGCTAATTATTATTCTCTTGGTGTTCTTATTTGTCCTGTTTTCCATTTTCTCATTTATGTTTTTTATCGCTCTTACGTGTAAATTATATAAATTGAGTTGATTTTATGGTTGTATGATACTATTTGAGTAATATCATCAGCAAACATTACATATTCACTAAAGGGGTAGTTGAGATTATTGTGCAAGTATAAATTGTATGTAGTGTTGGAGAAAGGCTCCTCCTTGGTGTTCACTCTCAGATGTATTTAGTTCTAAAAGTTTTAATTTGGTTGTGCTCCTATCATCAAATAGTTACACAATATTCTTGCATGTATTCGTTGAAGTCCCAGTTTTATTTTTATATTTCAAGCCTAAATACTTCTTTGTCAAAGCCTTAGAAACATCCTTAAAATTATATTGATCTGGTTTACCTTGCTTTTTATTGCATTATTTTCCGTTATTATAGCTTATTGCAGTTAGAATATTTCTATTGGGCATAAATCCATGTTTGTTGTTGGTTTTTATATTTATTTGTGTTAAGGCTATCAAGTCTTGGTTTTAATATTTTCTAATAGTTTGGTAATTTCATAAATGTTGGCTTAGTTTTAATATTTCATGTGTCCCTTCCCTCTTTAGGATAAATATCATTTTAGCATATTTTATTTTGTCTGGAAATGTGGTTATTAAGCATGCGTTATAAATGTTTATTAATATGTTTAAAAATGTTTTTCCAGAATGTGTCATGATCATGATTTCGTGTATACCTGTGGGCAGGGCTTTCATGGTATCCTCAGACGGTTGCATCATTTCTCGCATTTATTATTTGATTATTGGGTAATAAGTTTAATGGTCTATATATTGCCTTGGGGTGATTCTATATCTTCCTTTCTTTGACAATTTCACTATCAAAATCTTCGTTTTTCCTCATCTGATATTTTAAACTTTTACATTCCTTTTGAATGCTGACTCTTGTTCTTTTCTAAGTAATTTTGTTTCATTTTGGTCTTTATTTAATGTTTTTTTGTGTTGTCCTTTTCTCTCTTTGTTTATGGAAATCCAAAAATGTTTTGTCTTTAGTCATCAGCCGTCATTATATCTCATTTTTTATTGTACGTCTCTTAATTTTATCTGTAATTACTATCTGTATGTATATGAGTGTTTACGAACCTCACCCCATTTATGAGCGCCATCTTATGATCTACCTACCGGCACGACGCCATCTAGGGACGAGACACAGTATGACTCGTCTTGAATTACTCCGGGGTTTCCTTCTCCCTATCTCGTCACCTCCAATCGAGGAGAGACTTGGCTCTGGGAAGCCAGATATATCCTCTAAACCTACATCGTGCAGTACTCTACCGTCTCTAATACTCAGCCTTACTCGTCAGCCATCTCAGCTCTCTTAGTCTAATTTCTCTTGTTCCCGTCCACTTGCTTTAGATTTGTTTTGTGTTTATTAATATGTATATACTGTTGTTTTTAGGTTAAGTTTGGTTAAGGGTAATTTATAAGCTAGATATTTTGTTAAAGGATTTATGGTACTCTATTATACAGCAACTCCGCATCCTTTGTCTCTACCCTTATAGTCCGATTGTCTTTGTTTTTATTGTTGCCTGTTGGGATCTGGGTGGGCATATACTTTATTCTAAATCCCAACTCGTAACAAATGGCGACCGTGACAGGACACGATTCCAAGTACCATATTCCTTCCTCCTTGTTACTCAGTGTTAATTATTCTCAGTACTTCTGTTCACAATTGCTTTACGGTGGTTTAAAGTTTCCTTCATATGTGTTTTTTATCTATTGGTATTATCTGATGGAGTGACGACGGGATATTAGGTTCCAGGGTAATGTAAAGAGGCTTTTACTTTTATTGCGTGGCAGTTGTGCTGTAAGTCTATCGAGTGTGAGGGAAGAATCGGATCTGTTTTGCCATACCCTCACTCCAGGAGTAGGCTGTTCCCAATCACTAGTTTACGGTGGTAGGACAGACCCATAATGCCTGTTATCTCATTCAGGGTCAGTCATACCATTTTCGGGGTTTAATCCGGGATCTTTATATTAATAATATGTCACTTCCTCTTTCAAGTCTCTTTCTTATCTAGGGATCTTATCATAAGTGTAATTTCCTAGGTATAACTTGGTTAGTTTTGGGACTTTCTGGTTATCCACTGCCGTGATCTTTTCAGGGTTATCCCTTATCTTATCTTTGGACCATTAGTTAATTTATTTTCTTAACAA